CACAACGCCCGGCCATTTTTTGGTTGCAGCCGTCATTGTTGTTTGGCGGGTCCGGGCTGGGGATTCAAACCCGCCACCCTAGGTGTACGTGGCTGGCGCCTTAGCCAGTTGAGCTATAGGCGCCGAGCCGATGTAAACATTTTTTGTGTGTATTTTTTCCTATTCTTTTCCCAAGGGCAAGATGACCTAGCTGGGTGAGAAAACAAATGTCCCCTTCTTCAGGGACAGAGTATGCCTGGCTTCCCCACCGCGTGGCATGGAAACTCAGGATGGAAGCCTCTCTGGAACTTTTCTAACTATGCCTTGTCTTCCAGGGCCATCCACCTGACCATGCCCCAGCTGCTGCTGCAAGGATCTCACAACCTGCAGGATCTGCTTGCCCAGGCCAAGCTGCCCACCCTGCTGGGTACCAAGGCGACCCTGGGCAAAATCAGCGACACCAACCTCAGAGTGGGGAAGGTGCTGTGCAAGCTGGTCTCTATGTCTCACAGAGTGGGAGATGCCAATGGGAGGACACAGAGAAAGCCCCAGGCAGGCTGGCAGGGTAGGAGGGAGAGGAGAATAGGGCCAAGGATTGGATAGAAGAGGCCAGAGCTTTCTGGGACAGTGCATAACTCCTGCTCCTGCCTTGCATGTGTTCTGCAGCCTGCTCAGCCTGGGATGAGGAAAGTGAGCATCCCCAACTCTGAGCCCCTTCTTCAGGGCATGCTTAGCAGTAACAGACTTTCCCTCTGCCACTTGGGACGATGCACACTGCAATCACCACAGACACACCTGCTGCACTAGGCACCAAGCTAGGTGCTAGGGAGGAGGCGGGTTCATCCAGCAAGGCATGAGCCTGCTGGCAAAGTCAGCTAAGCGCTGGTGGGCCACAGAAGAGGCACCAGGAATTCTGCCCTGACTAGCAAGGTGGAGAATGGAGGCATGAGGGCGTGAGGGGCACAGTAGGGCCAAGTTAGGGTCACCTACACACAAGCACTTTGTCTACCCTGAGGGGCAGGCTCTGCTGAGCTGGACAAACCTCAGGCAGGAACACAGCCCCCTGTGCCTTCGGGTGCTATCCCCATGTCACTGTTTTGCAGGTAATGAACAGCATTCTTTTTGAACTCAAAGCCGATGATGGAGACCAGCCCACAGAGTCTGCCCAGCAGCCCGACGGGCCCGAGGTCTTGGAGCTGACCCTGAGCAGCCCATTCCTGTTTGCTGTGTACGAGCGCGACTCCAGTGCCATACACTTCTTGGGCCGCGTGGCCAACCCACTGAGCATGGTATGAGGCTAGGGCTCCAGACGGAGGGCCCTGCAAGGCCTCTGCCCTTGGCCCCCAGGACAAAGGCCAACAACACACAGCAACCCTGGGCAAAATCAACGATTTGTCCAGTCCCTGCCTTTTCTTCTGACAGTCAACTCTAAGTTGGAAAGCAGCTTCTCTCCTTGGCAAAGCAGTGTCATGCAGAGTGAGCGGGAGAAGTCCAACCTCACAAACAGGCCTCCCAGGTTGCTGGATTTATTTTGGAGGCCTGGGGGTGGGGAACCAAGAGCTGGCATTTAGCACAGGACTATTTTCCCAGAAAGAAATTAGACAGACCAACTAGTTTGTGAAACCAAAAACTGTTCCTGTTTTAGGTGAGAAGAGAAATAGGCTTTTCAAATTCAAAGGCTTTTCATTGCCTTGGTTTATACTTAGCTTAACGAATGTGAGACTATGATCTTCATGCAGTTTCCACACTAGATTAGTGTTTTCTTCCATAGATATTTGTGAATTTTGAACAATTAATTACGAAAAACACAAACATCTGGATTTGTTAGAATGTGAAACCGTGGCTGGTTGGCCCGCACTTGTGTTAGTAATAAATGTCTTGCAACAATAAACCAAAAAATTATCTTTCATTTAGCAGTAGCAGAGACGCATGCGATCGAGCTGACAGGCCGTGTGTGAAGAGAAGCCAGGACTGGGGGGTGGAGTTCCCGTGGCAGGCCTGGGCTGGCACTTTGTCTTTGGAGAAGTTTTAGGGAATGGGTTTCTTTGGACATGTCCATTCATAAGCAGTGGTGGCAATCTGTGTGATGGCCAGGCGACAGGAAGCAGGAGAGGGCAGGGACCTGGGAAGTTGGGCACTTCGTCCCCCCTCCCCCAGTGATGCAGGGTGGGATGGCTGCTCGTCCTGTGCCTGCAAAATGGAAGGCAGAGAAGTAAATCTTCCTGAATAAATATTAGCAAATTCTTTTCTCCCTGTTGAGTGTCTGCCTGTTTCCCCTCAATGGGCTTAGACGCACAGCTGTGAAATTGTGGGCTAACCTGAGGAGGAGGGGGCTCCTCCTGGGGACGTCAGCTGGTAATGGTAATGATGCTTCCTTACGTTTGGAAACCACTTGATCTTCCTCCCCTCCATAAATGTTGTAATGAATAAGTAAGCAGTGCAGCATGCTAGCTGTCAGTCAGAGCCAAGGGGGACCTGCCTCGCAGCCCTTCAGATCTCAGCCTCCCCCAGCCCCAGACGTCTCCCTCTGGTCTTGAGTGCATCTCCCTACCTTCCACTCAAGAAGACAGCTTCTCTTTTAGTTCTCATGTTTGGGACTGTTTGCCACATCAGTGCCTGTAACCCCTTCACCATAAGGCACATCACCAGTTTTATTTGGGGCACCTTTCACTTCCATACTCAGCGCAGCCTGGTTTGTTCTCGCCTCAAGGCTTGGACGGTGAACGCTGGTCACTGGCACTCTCTGAAATGGCTACTAGACACCAAGTCTTTGGAAGGACTGGAAGTACATGGACCAGGAGTCCTTTACAGCCTTGCTGTTCACAGCATGGCCCATGGACCAGAAGTCGAGGTAGCAGTGGTATGGGGCGGCAATCCTGGGAGTTTCTTAGGGATACAGAATCTCAGGTCATGCCTGAGCCTGCAGAGTCAGCCTCTTCATTTTTACAGGAGGCCCAGGCTTTGAGGTCGCCCATAATGACTTGAGAGAGCACTGCCGCGCACCAGAGAAACAGATTGAGCGCAGACTTTATTTTAAAGGCAGCTGGCAGTATAGTACCCAATTGTACTCAGCAGCTGCTCAGCCTCTGGGAACTGTGAGCAGTACAGGCTGCCGAGGAGCTCTGTGCTCAGGCTGCATTTGCTGTGTGAGTTACGAATGGGAAGCTGGGTCAGACAGATCTCCAGGGTGTTAAAAATACAAATACCAACATTTGCAGGTTCCTTAACACACACACAAATATTAGTTCTAGGGGTCTGGTGTGTTTCTCTTGAACAATTCCTCACTGTGTTCTAAGTTTTCCTGGGATGTGAGACAGGCTTGGCATAGGGATCACAGCTGGAGTCCCCCAGAGGAAATTCAGTGGGTCCCAAATCTCATAATGAATTTGGAAAGCTGAAAGATTTTTGTTATTCATTTGGGAGCAAAACCTGACCTGAACAGATGTGAGACTGCCTAAGGTCATCACATTATGAAAGTTGACAGTGTGAATATTCCTAAATTCGCTGCTCAAAGATGCCTGTGTGTTTGATTATAAGATGCCATTCCCGGAAATGGGCTGGGAAGTATAAGATACATCATAGACAGTAAGCCACTTCACCTTGCTACACCCCAAGACACTCTGACCCCTCAAACATGTGCTGAATGGCTGGGATGGGGTTGGGGGTGTGAGCACCATTCCATGTGCTTCTCCCTAACAGACTATATTTTTTAGAGCAGTTTTAGGTTCATAGCAAAATTGAGAGACTGGTGTAGAGGTTTCCCATGTGTGCCTTATCCCTGAAGACTTCCCCCACAGTCAACATCCCCCCCAGAGAGGGCCACTTCCCACAAGCCCTAAATCTGCAGTGACACGTCTCTATCCCCCGAGTCCGCAGTTTACATCAGGTTCACTCTGGCGTTGCATACTCTGTGGGTTTGGATACGTGTACAGCAATTTGTGCCCACCATGGCAGGGTCACACAGAGCAGTGCCACTGCCCACAAATGCTCTGTGCTCTGAACGCCTGGCAACTGCTGCTCTTGTCACCGTCTTCTTGGCAGCTCTGCCTCCCAGAATGTCACACAGCTGGAGCCCCACGGTGTGCACCTTTCCAGATTGGCTCCTCCCATTTGGCAGTGCACATGATGGCTCCTTGTCATCTTCTGTGGCCTGACTGCTCCCTCCTCTTTGCTGCTGAGGGGAGTTCCATAGACCATATATACCAGCTCACTTCTCAATTCACCTGTGCATGCACACCTCCTTGCTTCCAGGTCTGGCCATTATGAGTAAATCTGCTATAAACAGTTGTGTGCACATGCTTTCCCATGCAACATTTTTAAAAAAATTTTATCTATTTATTTATTGAGGCCAAGTTTCCCTGTGTTGCCCAGGCTAGAGTGCAATGGCGTCATTAGAGCTCACAGCAACCTCAAACTCCAGATCTCAAGAGATCCTCCTGCCTCAGCCTCCAAAATGCCCAGCTAATTTTTTCTATTTCTAGAAAAAGGATCTTGCTTTTACTCTTGAAAAAGAGTTTCTATTTCTAGAAAAAGGGTCTTGTCTCTTAGAGACAAGGGTCTTGCTTTTACTCTTGCTTTAACTCCTAAACTTAAGGGATCCTCCCACCTCGGCCCTCAGAGTTCTGGGGTGACAGGCATGAGCCACTTTTAAAGTTGCAGAATGATGAGAGATGTCCTGAGTGACTCTCAAACACCAGGTGTGCTGACTTTTCACACCTCTTCAATAGAGTAGGGGTCTCACAGTCCATGTCCCTGCATTCAAGTTGGTTCATTCTTCTGTTGTTACCTGATCCTTTGAGGCTTGCTTTTAAGTTTTGTTAGCTGGGCTAAAAGCAGCTTTTTGCATCTAGGCTGATTGGGCTCCACCACCAAGGCCATATACTCAGTGGCAAAGCAAAAGAAGCAGTGTCACATCACGGATGTTTGCAAATCTTAGACAGATGGCCTTCCCCTCAGAGTTTCTAGGGCTGAGGTCTTATAGAGAGAGAGATGACTGCCACCTGGTCAAGGCTTCCTTTTTTTCACAAATCACTGGGAACATGGGAACGCTTCGTGGCTGATGGGGAGAGATCTATCTGATGCACTCAGAAGCCATTAACACAGAGAATAACAGTGCTGTTAAACTAAAGGGATCATGCTTAAGAATCTCGCACTGGCTCAGGGTATGACATTTACCACTGTTCTGAAGTCTGAAACACGAACACAGGATGATCCACTCATCACCAATGATGTGGTCCTGTCGGCACGAATCCTGTAACACCAGAGCCACTGCTGCTGCTGCGGGAGCAACATCTGGACCCCCAAACCAGGGTTCTGTGGTTATTCAGAAGGGCACAGCAGAGGAAAGGCAGCACCACAGGAGTTCAGGAGGGCTATCCTATGGCATGTGGTAGGCCTGCCCATAGTCAGGTTTCGTGACTATGTGATTCTCACTGGTAGTTCTAGGAAGCCACGAGGAACTACTGGTAATAACCACAGACAGGAGATCATGGAGTGCCCAGTCCACTTTCTTCTGTCAGTTCTGGACATGCAGCTTGACTATAGTGTCCAGCCCCTGTATGACTGAGCTCCAGACACTGGAGGGAGTGGAAAGTCTGTGCTCACCCAAACTGGGGCCACAGCCCCAGTGGGTATCCCCTCACATTCTCTCTCTTTCTCTCTGGTTGGCTGCAGTGGAAGGGAGTGGGCTGAACAGTGGCCTCCAAAAGACATGCCCAGGTCCAGGCCCTAACTCCCAGAACCTATGACTGACTGTGTTTGGAAAGATGTGGCCAGGTTAAGGATCTCGAGATAAGATCCTCCTAGATTAACTTGAGGGGTGTGGTGTCCTGAATCCAGTGACCAGCATCCCTACAAGTCAAAATAGCAGAAAACAGAGAGAGAAGGCCACATGAAAACAGAGTAAGGGACCATGGCAAGCTAAGGACACCAGGAAGTGGAAGGAGGCAGAATTCTTCCCCAGAGCCTTTGGGGGCTATGCATGCAGGCAGCTAACTCCTTGGGATTGGACATCTGCCTGCAGAGAAGACATTTGTGATGTTTTAAGCTACCGTGTTTGGGGTAGTTAGGCAGCCTGGGAAATGAACAGATGGTTCTCCCAGAGAGAACCACAGGAGGGAGCGCCTCCCAACTGCATGACATCACCCCAGAGAGAACCACAGGAGAGAGTGCCTACCACTGCATGACATCACCCCAG